AGAGCCCACCACGGCACACCAAACCATGGGGGCAAAGTAACCACATGGAGCAACTCATGAAGAGTGGGCTACAAGGTTGGCCCCAATCAGAGCCAAACTGACCCCCTCCCTAGAAGTATATGCTATAGATGACAAACTAAACCTACAGCTTGGGGAGAGGGGCCGGCATGCCACACCCACATGGAAGCAAACCAAGAAGGAAAAAGAGAGAGTGTGGGTCTAGACCCCTTATCAGCTCTCCAAGCCCAGAGGATGACGTCTCTGCATGGACCTGCTAAGGCACAGGGAAGATTGTCAGCTCGCAACATGATGTCCCCTCACTGGAGCATACCACAACAGAGGACAATTCTGGTGACACACAGTGGGGACTTAGTCCAGTCTAAACATCCCATAGCAGACTGAACCAAGAAGGGAACATAACAGATCAGTAATGGAAGCAAAGCAAAGGCACAAAGTCCCCTGAAGAGCCCCCAAAATAGACCTCAGGCTAGGAGGGGCAGTTCCTGCAATCCCCCCAGGACCAGTAGGGACATAGTCAAAATGTCAGTGGACAGACCTGGAATTATGTATGCTTTCTTTTTCCCTAGTTATTATCTTTTTTTTCCTCTGTCTTTTTATTCAATGTTTTGCTTTGTCTCTGTTATTTTTGGTTTTGCCTACCTATATAAGACAGACACGGGAAGCAAGCTCAGGAAGAAAGCAATGGGACTGACAGTTCCAGAGGGGCTTGTGGAGAAGAGGAGGCGAGGGAAAACAACGCCATACACAGGGGAACAACTAGGGAATTAAAATCAACAAGAGATCCTGGGGGTGTTGGAGCAACAGCAATACAGCTGACAGGAATTACTAAGAAGCAGAAGAAGGGTGAGCATGATGGTAGGGCAGGAGGAAGGTAAAAGGAAACAGAGGAGAGATCTAGGAAGCAAAGCTATGGATAGACGTATAAACATAGGTATATACTTATGTGTGGTAGTTACATAATCTGGTCTCAATTTGAGGATTCAGAGTGAAGGGGTGGAGTCTAGGCTGTCAATCAGGTGATAGCCTGATTGAGGTCTCTGTGTGGGCCTGGCCTTCTCCTGAGGATTCTGGGAACTCCGGTATTTTCTCCTTGGAGGTTGGAGACACACTCTCTCTCTGCTCACTCCCTGAAAGATGTTCTACTGATAAGACACATGGGGCTACGCTGATATAGCCCGTGCCCTGGGAGCTGGAGGAGCCACGTGGAGATCCACACCAGCGCTGATGCTTCTACCACCACTGGATCCACAAGACTTTGTACCCACTGGCCTGTGATCTTACTGCATTCAGTCACTGCATATGTTTCATGAGTCTGAAGAGAACTATATACATTGGTATCAGACATATGGGCTAATATGAAACTCATGGACTTTATCTGGACTAGGCTGAGATGTTTACTCAATATTCAATTGCTCTTGTATATAAATCTCTTTCTTATGCACATATGAGTATCTATAAATTTATTTCTCTAGTCAACCCAGACTAACACATTATGTAAATGCATAATTTCATAAAAATAGAGTTAGTGGCCTATGTCCATATATTTATATGGCAATACACTGAGGTAGTGGATGGACATTGGGCCTCTGTTCAAGCCCTCCCTCAATGCAAGAACACTTTGTTCTAACAATTTGGTATTCTGTGATGCTCACCCTCCCCGCATGACCACTGAAGACAAAAATGGGTGCACAAGCAAATGTGGTGAGGAAAACTGATGGTGTCCGGCTATCCAAAGATAGTGTGGTGGGGGGGGAGAGATAATGTCTGGGGTCTGAAAGGCTTGAAGTTAAACAAGTGGCCATCTAGCAAAGAAGCAACAAGCCCACATGGAAGAAGCACACCAGCCTGTGCAATCATGAGGTGTTGATGGGATCTGGTAACAGGCATAAGATCCCAAACAAAACCCCCCTAAAAAAATTATATTGTTGAGAACGAGGGGGGTGGGAGCAGAGACTCAAACCCATCTGTAGACAATGGGATCATGTAGAGCACATATACAGGTACAGTTAAGAGATAAGAACACACAACACACAGAATCCAGGAATAGGAATGGGAGTAGCGATACCATGAGGGTAGGGAGAAGGTGGGCAGGAGAAGTGTTGAAGGCCATTAAGACTCAGCCTTGAGCTTGTAGGCAAACAAGCGGCCATCTAGCTCGGAAACAACAAAGTCCACAGAGAAGAAGCACACGAGCCTGTGCGAACACGAAGTGTTGAAGGAAACAGGCAGCAGACACCAAAGAACAAAAACCATCATTGTGTGACCACCTTCCACACATAAACGCTGAAGAC